TTGAATTATGGATAGTTTTTTTACTTTATTTTCAAGTTTGTGTTTCGTTTCAGGCTTTAAGTATATTGGTCATTCCTTAATTACCCAAGTGATGATGCAGGCATTTTTTGGCAGGTTGGATCAGTTCAGGGTTGAATAGTCTCGTTGTCAGCCGTGTTATTCTCCTGCCATGTCCCAACCAGTCCATTGTCACTGAGCCACAACATTTCAGTACAGCGGCAGCATCCTGCACAGCACTGAGTCGTGATAACAGGGAACACGGCCACACTGGTGTCAAAATGTGTCCTGCTTTATCCGAGCGCCCTGGGAGCAGCCAGCCTGGAGAATGAGCTGTGGAGAGGCTGACTGGGACCCAGGTGGTCCTGCGCAGACAGACAGGTCATTTACAGGCTGCACTGTACACACATCACTGGCTTCTTACTGACTGACAAGCTCTAACAGAGAGATTTGTCAGGCACTCAGGGAGAATAAAGAAGTTCAGGAACAGAAGTGTGTGCCTGTGTGTGTGTGTCTTTGAATATGTGACGAGTGCTGGCTATCAGACGAGCTTCAGAAGGAGGAACAGACTTGGTGTAATAACCCCTTCTTTGGGACCCCCATGACTGCTCTGCACCCCGTGCCACCCCCAAACCAGCCCCCCGCTAGGTGCATGAGCTGTGGGTTAATTGTCATGTGAGGAGGTAAAATTATGGGTGCGGGAGGTCTCTGCACCTCAACAAAAGTCCCCATCTGCATCCCCCCACCCCCCTCTAGAAACGCCACCCTTCTTCATTTTTCCTTCAAGTTACAACTAATTCCTGGAGCGGTGCAGCGAGGAAGTCGCTGCTATCGCTTATTAAGACCCACTCCTAGACGCCACAACCCCCCAACCCCATTAAGTGCATGCGCACACACATACGTGTGCTCATTCAGCAGGCTTGCCTTACAGAGAACACAGAAAAAAATAGTGGAGAGTAGCAGAGAGAAAACCCAAGAATAAAAGGGGAAGTAGTCAGCAAGCTAAAGTTTTTTTTTTCCACCCTTCTCTCGCTCTCCCTCTCCTTTTTTTCCTGATTTACCGCGCTTTCCTCAGAAAGCTCCATTGTTCCCCTAGCCTAAGTCTCATCAGGCCTTTTGTGGCTGACTATCACAGCGGCAGGCAGAGAGCTGGAAATGTATAAATGGTATCATGCCTTGTGATTAATGGCGGTGCTTATGAGTCAGGTCTGATAACGGGCCTGCTCTCTACTCAATTTCAGATACCGTTAATGGAATCTGTCTTCTGCGATTGTAATGTGAGAGCGCCTAATTTGCTATGGAGCTTGAAGCTGTCACCGGCAAGGGATTGTGGGGTCATAAGGGACCTGGCAGCCGTTTGGCCTGCAGCTTGTATCTGCGGTGCTGAATAGAGCAGCTCTCTGCCTGTCAGTTAGCTGATAGGCTGATGAGGACTCTAAGCCACTCCACACAATGGCGGAAAGGGCCATACTGCCTGACTTCCCTAATTGTCGAGCCTGCTCATATTTCAGAGCCAGCATGCTGGGGACTGGGTTGCCTTTTTTTCCTTTTCTCTTCTTTCCCCTCTCTCTTCTTGAACTTTTTTCTTCCTTTTTCTATATTTCATCCTACATCCCGCACACTGTCTCACCCCTTTAATGCACACTTTTCTGCACTATTTTCCTTTTCTTTTCCTTCTCCCCATCATTTGTCGCCTCACTCTCTCTCCCCTTCTGTCTCTCAGTTTAGTAAGTGGTGGGTCTTAGCGTATGACAGATTATCCCAAGTTTGCTTCAATTACCGCAGAGGAGATGGAGACAGTACAGGAGAGGAGGAAGGGGAAAACTTTTGTGCACACATTATATTTAAGAAGCTGAGGATAAAGTGCTATCTCCACCACGGTGGTTTCTGTGCCAGTCTGTTCAAGATCAACCGGCTGCTCGAGAGGGACTTCTCATGATATGTGAATTACCCCAAATCGCTGAGTGTTTTTCAAGGTCTTGTCCGAGAAGCAAACTTGGGTAGGAGGAAGATTATAATGGGTCCCCAAATTAGTTATAGGGAAGTGGTGGCTTTTTTGACAACAACATTTAAAATTTGTGTGAAGCTGCTGACTTTGTTATTTTCTCTCTGTTTTTTTTTTTCGTGTGTCGTTGCAGTGCAACTTTGATAAAAAGAAATTGAAAAAAGCAATTTAAGTTCTGCAGCCTTTAGAAATACTGTTTTTGAGGTTAATTTTAACGCAGTCGTTTTAAACAACTGAAACATCCAGATGGTTAAATTAGTACAATAGTTAATTTAGTTGACCAGATTGTAATTAACTTCTTGTCATTGTCCTCCGATGCAGTCCTTTCTAAAGAGTAAAACCCTCTTCTTCTACACTTTCAGGTTGGCAGGTCCTGGTCCTGGAGCAGTGCTGGCTGGTGGGCTGTTCGCTGTGTCCAGACTCAGCTGGCAGTGGTCCATGGTGGCAGAGGTCTTCACCCTCAATAACCTTTTTATTGGCCTTCTCTTCTTCTTGACTGCCAGCTTCCGCTGTGCTGAAAATGCCACGCAGAGGAAGAAGGTAACTCAAAACGCCACGCAAGAGATGCAACACACAGGTTATGTTTTATTCAATGTAAACGCACAATGCTGCACTGTTTTGGTTGTCCCTGTTAGATTGCATACTGGGGGGCATTATGCTGTGGCTTGGGGCTCTGTAACCAGCACACACTGGTGCTGTATGTGTTGGTCATCATTCCTTGGGTCCTTTACCGACTGTGCTCTCAAAAGGTAAGTCACAGGGTCTCTTTAAATAAAGAGAATTATAGATGGCAAAGAAGAAATAGGCTGTGTGCAGTTTTTTGACAGAAATAAAAAGGAAAAAAAAAACAAGATTTTTTCCTCACATATCCTCTTAAAAGCTGCTGTTTGTGAGGTGCAGCTAATCAGAGGGAAGTTGGTTTAAAGGGAGAGGAGCTAAAATGGCTTTAAGATAGATATACAGTGGGGCAAAAAAGTATTTAGTCAGCCACCGATTGTGCAAGTTCCCCCACTTAAAATGATGACAGAGGTCAGTAATTTGCTCCAGAGGTACACTTCAACTGTGAGAGACAGAATGTGAAAAAAAAA